ATTCAGAGATATTCTCTAATGAATATATACAGACCGAAGCCGGTCCGTATATATTTAGTTAAATAATATTTTATTCATATTTTTTGGTATTTAATATTTATTTTTTTCAGAAATAATATTCGGACCGAAAACGGTCCGAATATTATTGGCGTGTCTAACTGTGAATTCCCGCTAGAAATATTTTTTGGTATTTAATATTTATTTTTTTCAAAAATAATATTTGGACCGAAAACGGTCTGAATATTATTGGCGCGTCTATACTGTTGACTACCGCCATAAATATTTTTTGGTATTTAATATTTATTTTTTTCAGAAATAATATTCGGACCGAAAACGGTTTGAATATTATTGGCGCGTCTATACAGTGACGCACGCCAGAAATATACGGACCGATACCGATCCGAATATGTTCATTAGTATATTCAGACCGATATTGGTTCGAATATTTAATTATTCGGACCGACACTGTTCGGTCCGTATATGGTCGGTCCGTATACGTCATTTTTCTAGTAGTGGGACGACAACGAACATGACCTTAGTAGAGGGACAAGAACGAATAAAATATTAAAGTAGAGGGACGACAGTTGGCTTTAAACCGTTTTTTTAATTTAGATGTACTATTGTGGTTTTTATCACCGAAGATAGTACTTAATTATGTTGCATTGCAAAAATTTAAACATGATCTCTATCTAGAATTAAGATCATTTTGAATTTAACTGATTAAATTCTCTTTATTTAATTTATCTGTAGCTTGTTGGGATTTATTGGATCCACACAATTAAGGAATATAAAGGGTTTCAACAAATACTCATTATTATTTCAGAAATATAATCCGCATAGCCAAGTAAGTTTGCTTGAGGAAAAGAAACTCATAGCTAAAAAAAATTTGTTTAAAAGTAAATTTTTTTTCTTCATAAATTTAAAAATTTATTGAAGAAAAATTCAAAAAACAGCTTTCAAAATAACTTTTAAATAAGTTTGGAAAAAATTATACATTCAAACCTTTTCAAATTTTGTTTAAAACTAGGCAAAACCCTATGTTAAATCTCCGAACTTATCCTAAATTCTTGTTTAAATCCTTAAATTTTTATTGAAGTAAATAAATCCACAAACTTGGTAATTTGGTAATTTAATCATTCATTTTTATGGTAAATTTAACGTTAATTTACGTATCACGTACGTGGATAAAATTTTGACATGTCATTACCTATGTAACAGGCATTGACCTTGTTCATGTAAGAAAAGCAAAAATGAGTATTAAGGTTGCAGTAAGAAAGATTGTTAAATTACTCAAATTAACAAATTTAAGAATTTATTTGCTTTAATAAAAGTCTAAGGGCTTAATTGAGAAGTTTAAGAACTTAACATTGGGTTTTGCTAAAAAAACTACTTTAAAATCAATTTTTGAATTTTATTCTAACAAAATTTTAAATTTGTCAAAAAATTATTTACTTTTAAAGAAAATATTTTTTAAGTTCCACTAAACAAATTTATAGTAATCTTTTAAATCTTAAAGGTGTGTTTGATTGGCCACTTCTCCCAAGTAAAGAATTTGGGGAAGTTGAGCCAAAATTGTTTTCGACTTAGTTTGTGAAATGTATTCTTTCTAAAAAGGTGGATATAAGCTATTACAAATTGTGATAATTGATTATAAAAGTTTAAAAACTCATTTCCAAGAAAAATTCCAAAAAATTAAGACCTTCCAGGTAATGTAATTTAATTACAATTAAAAGTAAATAATTATATCCATATTTATCCAAAATAAATTGATAACCCGGTTATAAAGTTTATTGATTTTTGTATCAATTAATTAAATCAATATCTTAAGCCAAGACCTTCCAGGTAATATAATTTAATTACAATTAAAAGTAAATAATTATATCCATATTTATCCAAAATAAATTGATAACCCGGTTATAAAGTTT